GCTGCAGCAGCTTGGCTCAGAGTGGGTGAGTAGGGTTGGGAAGTATACACCTTGTACTCCGAATCCAGTGCAACACAGCTGCATGAGTTCCCTGCAGCTCTCCAAGATGGACTTGGGGCTTACAGGAACTGTGGGATTCTCCTGTTTAAGGACTATAGGTGTTTGCAGTGGCAATGGGGCTGGGGGACAGTGGGGATCTCCTGCTTATCTTTTCCCCACATGTGAAGTCTCTCCTGACTCCAGGTATATCTGATCCAGGCAGAGAAGATGAAGCTGCAGACAACAGGTACCTCCACATTACCCTCCTAGACTTCCAATCACTACTCCTCCACTGCACTCCAGCACTCTCCCTTCAACACTGTAGTCAAAATCTGAGCTGTTTATTCATTGCCTTGGTCCTTTATTGTGTTGGGAATGAATGCCAGGTATCTCTAGTCAGTCATCTTGCTGACATCCCTCTCAATAGCTTTATTTTGTAAATGAGTAGTGAAGACTAACAAAGGCAGCAGCATAGTAAATAAGTGCCTTCTCTTGAGAATCAAATTCCCTGAGTTCAAATCTACTACTTCTTAACTGTGCTCTTGGGCAAGATATTAACTCTGTAGGTCTTAGTTTCATTAACTTTAAAAATAAGCACTCTAAGAGTATCTGACTTTCTTTGAGGTTGCTGTAAAAAGTAAGGGTAACGTTCTTTATATAGTTTCTGAAAAAATAATAAGTATTCAATAAGTATTAGATATTTCAATGAGGTGACTTGCACAAGGTCAGGCAGCTAAAAGGAATGCCCAGTCTACTGTGGCAGGATAAGACATTTGGTGTTTCTGCTATGTATACCAAAGCATACTAATTATATTCAGTGACATTAATGACATAATACCACTAAGTAATATTATCTTTTTGCCATTTTTCATAAAATTAATTCAAAAACATACATTTGTATTTAGCATAATGTGTATTTCTCTGAATGCTCAGACTTCAATTTACAGTTTGGTTTTCTATTTCAGCAAAGCTATCTTTTCAAAAGATATACTCTAGGTACTGTGGTGCTTTAGGGCATTATTACAAACATGGGTTTTCAGTGTACTATTGAGTCAGAAATACTGTTTAATGGAAATTACAGGTGATAGGCTGCCAAAAGAAAATACATTTTTACTAAACCTTGCATTCTCTCAGAATTTTTCAAGAGTGCAAAGTGAAAAATTTACAGAACACACAAAGCTCTCTCAGGAGCCAGTGATGTAGCTATATATTATTTCATTGTAATTCAAATATGTAGTAAAGAGAAATGTCATTTGACAGCATTTTCTATTTCTCCTTTATATTACATATTAGATATATAAATATCAGGCAAAAATTTACTCATAGATCCCATTATATGGAAAAGAATATCTTAATTACTGGTTATTTATTGTGAAATAAAATAAAATATGCACAGACACCCCTCACTTTTCACAGATATTCATGACTTCTGGCTTCCTGTATTCCTCACATATGTGTCATCTTAGCTTCCAGGGTAACTCTTTTTACTATTCCTTCCATGAAAAATGATAGTTGGTAAAAACTAAACAGTTACAATAGTCAATTTTATAAGTTTTGCTCTTTCAGAGCAAAATTAAGATTAAAAAATTATCAGAAAATGAGTAGGGCCTAGGAATGGTGATTTAACAAAAAATATGCTACACACACACAGCACATTTTATGCTCTCTCTATATATATGCTATATATAAACATATATGATACATACAAACATATATTTATAAAAATATATATTTTTTGAGAATTTTTTTGGGAAAAATTATATATTTATATATTATATATAAATATATAATATATAAATATATTATATATGTATATAATATATAATATATATATATATGTTAGGCACATATTCCTCTTGGACTTAGGTGCCTTAGGCTGGATACCCCTCCTAACCCCGACAAAAGCAGAGCCTTTAAAAAGCGTTGTGTGCAGTGCATTAATTTTGGAATGTGATTCTAAGGAATGGGATTGGGAACTTTGGAAAAATTAAATAAGGTAAGCCAATCTAAGATTGTATTTTTAAGCTCATCAGTTCTGTAGGTAACTGAAGACCCTAGTGGAGTCCTACTGGAGACCACTAAGGAACTATATGGAATGCACTTCAGAATATTCTGCCCAAAGGATAGAAAAGGGGAGTATTTATCCACTGAATCCTGTCCCTATTGTCAATTCCCTCAAACTTCCAGGTTTGCATATATGTCAGTGTAGATTAGCAGATTTCCACAGGTGTTCCACGTAACTGATGTGTCAGAAAAGCACTAATACAGAAATCTAGAGATACATGGGACAACAGAGGTAAAGTGCTATCAAAGAGTAAAATGTATGAATTGAAAAATGGCCTAAGAGGATGTGAGGTAGGACACAAGAGATATTAAATACCATCCACTCCTTGCAGCACTCAGAGCCACACAGTTTCCACATTGAGTCCAATCTGTCACAGAGTCTTCAAGGAAGTGGGAGGCCATTACACAAATACTAAATGCAAGAGATTTAGTGGAACAAGTTATGTGGCTTCTGTAATTGATTCCAAGTCTATAATTGATAGTTATCATCTCTCTCTTCCACCACAAATTCTGTATTTCTCTCACATTTGGCCAACCTCTTCAGTAGGTTCACGTGGTTTGAATGGTGAGGTGACCTAGACCTTCATCCTCAAAGGGTCAGAGTCTTTAGTTGCTTTACCTCGTCAGGCTGTGGTTGCTACAGTTGCCCGTTTAAGGTTATCACTTGACACTGAAGCACCAAAGGATGCCTCAATGAATCCCCTAGGAAGGACATACTCTATACTGCCTCCATTAATAGTTATAACTCTAGCTCTGCATGGTAGCCAGGATCAATATCTCTTCCAATATCATGCTTCTATTTGCCTGCTGAACAGCTGACACAAAGAGTCATTATGACTAGATGGCTTTCATAGCTTCAGGTACCTCAGCTGCACCTCAAGCCAGTCTACCACTCCATGAAAGTTTTCTTAACTGTGAAGTTACTTACAGCAGAGCCATTGCCACCAACAATGGGGTCCTTGTCACCAAATGCCCTGTGATACAATTCTAGATTCCCATCCTGATGAGCTGCTTTCTAGGGCTACTTTAGGTAATCACTGACTTAGCCAGGGTTCCCCATGAAGCAAACATATGACAATAACTTCCAAAGAGGTTGACTGTAGTTAAGTAATTCCAGAGAGGACAGAGGTACTAGGAAGAGCAAAACAGAAAATGATGGAAATGAAGGAAAGATAATGCAAAAGTGTGTTACTAGTTGGCCACTGTTGTGGATAACCAGGGTGGGATCCTTTTAAGAGAACTTCTGAGGCGCTGTGTGGAAGGGACCATAGAATTGTTAAACTGAGGGATGTAACAGAGAAGTATTTATCCATCAACTCCCACACTCCTTGGTCAAGAGGTGCCCCATGGGATGTTTTAGTCCCTTCACACATCTAGGATAGTTCATGTGTGAGAATGGCTAAATGGGTTCCTGCAAGTGTTCCACACAGCAGAGGAAGCAGAGAAGCCCTAGGGGCAGGAAGTAAGACATACACAGTACAGCCAAGGCAACTGGCCAGTCAGTTCACTGTATGCAACTGATTGCTGGAGTAAAAAGTTAGGCTGAGAGGATGGGAGGTGGGTCAGAAGAGCTATCTAGGACACAGTGAAATAAATGCTCTAATAAAGCAATGTGTAAAATACTATGGGAACTTATATGGAAAAGAAGAGACAATCCTTAAGCTCTGAGGCATGAGAAAAGGGCTGAGGGCTTACTATAATTGCTTTATCCATTTGCTACCCTTTCTTTTTCAATATCAGATTAATTATGCTCATTATCTTCTGTCCCCTAAAAGTCTAACATTTAAAAAAGGAGGAAAAGGAGGAGGGGAAATTAAATACTTTTTCCTGTGGCAAAAACTTTTTTAACATTCAAAAAAAGTAATTTGGAGCCAAAAATGAAAAGCATATTTCCCTTCAGACTGTGATTTACACTTTCCTGGAGCTGGGAAAAAGCATGAGAAAGCACCTGAATAAATATGCACACTGTGGAATCTATTTAGGTGGTGAGAAGAGAGAATCTGCTTGATGCTGCAGTGAACAATTCAAATCACAGCAAAGAAATGCATTTATGCATATTTTAAACAAAAGGATGATTATTCTTTCATGGTCCTGAAGTTGAAAAACAAATTTGAAATGGCTATTACAAACACCCATTCTCAAATACAAGTTTCTATAGGATACATCATTTGTACCTGACTAATGGACAAGCTTTCCGAAATTCTGTAGTTGATATGCATGTTCCTTTCAAAAGAAAATGTTTATGTAATGTATTTTTGCTTGCTTGGTATTGGAAGAAAAGGAAATGTCTTATCTAGATGAAAGAAAGTTAAGAGATGTTTAAAAAAATCTTAACAAATTTTAAAAAGATACACATTAGGTTTGAGAAAGCTCACAAGCCACAACATTCAAATTCAGTATTTTATATTGCTGTGATTGTATCTATCATATTTGTGCTGCATTTTTATCCATATTATAAACAGTTATGATTTATATCTGGAACTGTGATTCATAGTGTTCAATTCACTTCTAAAATCAAGATACTCTAAAATATATCTTATTTTTATTTTGATAGTTTTATATGCATTTATAAAATTATTCACATAATTTATAAATAAATCATCTTAGGTTATTTAAAATATACTATTCCTATCCAAAACAGGCAGATCATTTCCATATCAAATTAATTAGTAGCTATTGTCAGTTTTAAGAATAATTTCTCAATTTATCTAAGATGCCTAACACTGCCACCATGATATGTAGTCAGGAGGATACTTATAATACCTTTTGTAAAAGTCAGCATTTATCTTATACTAACTCCCTTTTCAGATAGAGAACATATTTAAGAAATGAATAAGTCGATAAGCCACTTGTAACCAGCACTAATGATTGTTCAATGGACACATATAAACTCAATGTAAACTTGAAGTTAATTCCATTTAATTTATAGCTTATTTTATAATAGTATTTTATTAGTGAATTAATTTACATATACTAAAATCACAAATCTAAACATACAGCATGAGGCATGTTGACAAATGTATGCAACTACATAACCATCATCCAGACCAAAATACAAAACATTTCAATCACCCCAGAACATTTCCTCAGGCTCCTTTTCCATTCAATTTGGATTCCCTGCCCTCACTCAAAGCAGCCACTACTCTGGTATCTATCATCAAATGCTAGTTTTGCCTAGAAGTGGCCTTAATGTAAAAGTAATTAGATAGTATGTTATGTCTGGCTTGCTTTGCTCTACTTAATGTTTTTGAGATTCATACAGGTTGTTGCATGTATCAGCGTCCTTTTTTTAATGAACAGTATTCCGCTGACTATATTGCAGTTTGTTTATCCATTTTCCTATGGATGGAAATTTGAGTGTTTACAGTTTTGTGCTATTGTGAATAAAGCTTCTATGAGCAGTCATTTTTCTGGGGTGTATATCTAGGAATGAAATAGCTGAATCACAAGGTAGTACAGGACAGTGCTCTAAGTGGCCTTGGACAAACTCAATTGTCCCCCTTTCTCACTTGTAGTTCTCAAGAATAACTGTACTGTGTGCTGGGAATGTAACATCCTGGACTAAGTGACTGTGAAAAACACTGTGACTTTACAGATGAAACATCTACAAAGAATCATCTATTGTCTTGTTAATCATATGCAATTTGCCACAGATATTTTCAGTGACTTCTATGAAAATATTTGTTGTTGAAATGTATGCATGACATCTTAAAAAATTGATATTTATTTTTTGTTTATCTTAAAAGACATAGAGAAAAATGATCAGTATGGTTATCTATTACACTCCTATATATCACATTTCTCTATTAGCCACAGGTCTGATTCCGGTTGTTTCCATTCTTCTCCAAGCAGCGTGTTAAAATTGAAAGGTCTGAAGTATTCTAGGTGATGGCTAAAAGCAAAGAAAAAGAAGGTGGGAATTGAAATGAATTATGCATTTGTGAAATAGTTGTCCTGAAGGGCTATTTATTTTGTCACATCTGTAATAGGACAACATTCTATTTTAAGCAATACTAAAGGTAAGACATATTTTATATGTACAGTTTTCTCACTCTAGCTATCAAACACTCAGCTCTGAAAACATTCACCTGCATTTCAAAGCCCTCTTCTTTCAATTCTGTAAATAGCTCCCTCACAGCTGAAGGGAGAAACCAACTCTCAAAACATGACTCATTCAATCCAACTTTAAACAAATCATATTATGTTCTTGCATATGTTTTTATATTCAAATTTTGACATAATTTATATCAGTCATATAAGCAATGGTTTTAAAAAGTTTCAGTTCCATAGATAAGAAGATAGACTTCTTAATTCCCTTCTCTGCCGAAGCAACAGAGGTTAATGTAAAAGAGTGTTAATTCCAGTTCTTTTCTTTCCAGGAAAATCATTTAACTATATTAAGAAGCTTTCTCTAGTGGCTTAATGAGGAGAGAAAGGCTTAGCTAACATGCTGCAGTGGAGCCCCACTCTGTAGGCAGTCACTCTGCCTCGGCTCTGTCCTGGCCAATGTATAATTGTACTTCCACCTCCGATAAGCTTCCAATAATGTATGAATGAAGAGCCTGAATACAGGCAGGTATTAGCTGATGAACAGCCAGGGAGACATGACATCTTGATACGAGGACCTTGAGTCAGTTGCAACTACGTTTTTGTCTCATTCTGCCCACCTGGCCAGGATAAATCAGTTTTTGAGTCATAGTTGTCAATCCCAGAGTAAGAGATTAAGGAAAAAACAGTGAAGGATAAGAAAAAGGAAGGGAAAAAAAGACTAGGTAAAAGCTATGTCAGGACTGGGGGAAAGGTAAAGGGAAAAGGGGAAAAAAAGTCAAGCAAAAATGGGGAAAAAATGTCAAGGATAAGAAAAAGGAAGGGGAAAAAAGACTAAGTAAAAGCTATGTCAGGACTGGGGAGAAAGGCAAATGGAAAAGGGGAAAAAAAGTCAAGCAAAAAAGAAATATGTTAGAAGTGATAAAAGACAAAGAAGCATGAAGAGCGAGCATGAAAGGAAGGAGAAGACAAACAGCGTGAGGAAGGACAATGCAGCACATTCCACAGGTAAAAAGGCAGGAATGTCTGTCTACTATAGTGCAGTGCTCACTAGGATGTCTCTGTTAGGTTCTTCCAAATGCCCAGATTCACCAGACTACCTTGGCCATGGTGAGTATACCTAGAGAGATAGAGAGCAGCAATCACAGCTTGCCCCAGGACAGCATCTGGCTTTCCTCCCTAAAGGAGTAGTCCTTGCAGAAGTCCAGGAAGCATTCATAAGGCTGGCCAGGAGCTCTAGTCTACCTATGTGAGAGCTACAGGTGCAAGGAAACAAGACTCAAATTGAGAAAGCATAGCAGATACCTTGGCTCAAATGCCTGCTGCCCCATGAGAGCATTATCTCTTGGAATAACTCCATAGCCATAGCTTCCAGGGTTCGCACAGGTAACATGACTGTTAAAGGGGAATCCCAAAGCCATGCTGTCTCCATCATGTATTTATAGTTCATCCAAAATTATTCTCAGTCCAGATGTAATTTACCACTTAAGGGTCATTTTTATCATAAGCAATGTTGCCTAGAAACATAGTTGATATTTTTATCCTTATGAGGTTACCAGAAGAGGAGAACTAGAGAGATAACTGAAGATCAGATTTCCTTGCAACAGGGACCCTTTGTTCACACCTGGAAACACTGACACCTCTGGCCCTTTAGCTCTGAAAGAAATTTTAAATGAATTTGCAAACATACTTCTATATCAGCTATTGCAACATTTACTTTTCTCACATGCAAACCACTATGGAAAAATAAGTGTTCTACTGACAGTAGTGAGAGACATTATGTCAGCCCAAAGTTTACCAAGTATATTCTGAGGACCATCAGTGAACATTGGACTCTACTAGGTGCCTGTGCACATATGTCATCTTCTTTGATCAAAAGGGTTACTTCTGCTCCACTAAGACTTAATTTCCAAAAAACTCGTTTATTTGGAATATATCTTCATTTATTTTCTACTTACAAATCAGGTTTTTGTCCTTGTTGCAGTTCATGCTGAGGTACAGGGTAAAGAGCTTCATAACTTCGTTTATCTTTTGATCCATGAATTGCAAATGAATTGAATTTTGTCACATTTGGTGGAAAATAATTCCAAGGGAGATAAGCTTTGCCTTCCCATTTTGTCTCTCCTCTGGACACTCTGAATGATAAAGGAAGTTCTTGCTACAGAAACAACATGTGGAACACAAAAGATAAAATTGGGCTTACACTTTAAACATAGAAATAAATATGTGTATTACTGTGTATGTAATGATTTTGCCTCATATTTTTATTTACTTACTTTCCACACATTTCTTCTTCCAGAAAGTAAAAGCACTAAATGCTGTCCGTGGCTGTCAAAATTGAGATTCCTTATGAGTGTTTGAAAAACATGTTATTTTCTTCACTATCCTTTATACATGGAATGTGCGTGCTTGCAACTAAATTTCTAAATAATTAAAAGATGCAGGCTGAGCGTGGTGGCTCATGCCTGTAATCCAGGACCTTGGGAGGCCAAGACAGGCGGATCACGAGGTCAGGAGATTGAGATCATCCTGGCCAACATGGTGAAACTCCATTTCTACTAATATACCAAAAAAAAAAAAAAAAAGAAAATTAACTGGGCATGGTGGCGTGTGCCTGTAGTCCCAGCAATTTGGGAGGCCGAGGCAGAGGAATCGCTTGAACCCAGGAGGTGGAGGTTGCAGTGAGTCAAGATAGTGCCACCGTACTCCAGCATGACAACAGAGCGAGACTCTGTCTCAAAAAAAAAAAAAAAGAGATGCAATATTAATATTGGATAATTATAGAGAGAGCCAGTGTGTTCAGTTGCTTAGAAATGGCATCTTTGGGTTTACCACTCCAGACAACTGCCACCAAATGCATAAAGTTTCATGTTTAGATTGCTTTTTATATTCTTTAAAGAAAAAATTATATAAAATACTTCATTTGATTAGATGACACAAAGTATGAAAAAGGTCAGAGAGATACCATGTTATTTGGAGACTTTATAAAATGAGTTTCAAAAACTGAAGCAAGCAACAATTTCCAAGTCTGAATTCAACAACTTTAATAAAGGTTATTTCTGAAAGAAAACTATCTGGTAGCTCATTAGGAAAATAAAAAATGCAAAACACAGACAGTCTACAATTAGTCAACAGGCTAAAGATTTTCATCTTTGTCTATTTTTTTTTTCACACACTGCCTTCAACCTGTCTGCCTCTTGTGTTTTCCTGTTTTCTACCATTCGTTCAGCATCATGTTTTCAAAAAGGAACACAGTATTTTCTCAAAGGGAAATTCTGATAGCAGTGTACAATTGGGACTAGCCAGGTCATTAAGAACCAAAGGATTTCATGTATTTACATGAAGCAAATTCACTAACTCTAGAAAAACCTATATCTTTAAACATTTCTATACAGGTACTCTTTTGAGAGCTTTTCAGGGAAGATTTCCTTCAGTAAACTATTCTAACAGAAGTCAAGTATTCTTTTCCATTTAAAAGTCTTCTGATTATTTTTATTGCTATTATGCAGCCTTAGTGGTACATCCTAGGAGAAAAAATTCTTGCAAATAAGAATAAATTCTTCCTGTTGCTTTCCTAGAGGTTAACTGTTACAGGAAATGATTATCTGAAGCAAAACTATGATTCTTGATTATTAACTATCTTGATACATAAGAAACCCAAATCACTCTGTGAATATTTTAACCTTTAAAATCTATTAATTTATACACAATGATTACTGTGTAATTTCTTAACAAGAGAGATTCTAATTATTCCATTCATCTAGTTTTAAGTCATCACTTTATGAAAATAAACCAATATTATCATCTAATAAAATTAAAACTAAGGGCAAAACTTTAGGATATCCAAGTTCTTTACTGTACTCTAGACAAGTTAGGAATGTTTGCCTTAGTTTTCTCACCTGTAGGGTAAAAATAAGCACACAATAGTTGAAATTTTCTTACTTCTCATGGCAGTCTATGAGAATTAATCATATTTTTCAATAACAAATTTTGGCATGTTAGTTGACATGTGACACACAAAGGTATATGATTATTCTTCTTTAAAAACATAATGCAAACAGCTAGACTTTTCTACATTCGATTTAGCTGAACATCAAAATAAAGGAAAATAAAAGAATATTTAAAAATCTCATTTCAATCAATTGTTTGGAGCTCTCTGTCCAGCCTACAAAAGGAGCAATGGCTTCTAAATGTTAGATGCAGAGAAGCATTTAAATGGCATTTCAAATGAATAACTGCAATATAAAGAAATATTTCATTAGTAAACATTTTATTAATTTTAAATGTGCTATAATTTAGATAATAGGTGTACATCTACAGGAAAAAAGAAATCGTTTGCCAACCAGGTAAATAGGATTCCCAAGAGACGTTAAACCTGAACAAAGAACAAACCCACAGCCAATATTATACTGAATGGGTAAAAACTGGAAGCATTCCCTTTGAAAACTGGTACAAGACAGGGAAGCCCTCTCTCACCACTCCTATTCAACATAGTGTTGGAAGTTCTGGCTAGGGCATTCAGGCAAGAGAAAGAAATCAAGGGGATTCAGTTAGGAAAAGAAGTAGTCAAATTGTCCCTGTTTGCAGATGACATGATTGTATATTAAGAAAACCCCATCGTCTCAGCCCAAAATCTCCTTAAGCTGATAAGCAACTTCAGCAAAGTCTCAGGATACAAAATTAATGTGCAAAAATCACAAGCATTCATATACACCAGTAACAGACAGAGAGCCAAATCATGAATAGCTTCAAAGAGAATAAAATACCTAGGAATCCAACTTACAAGGGATGTAAAGGACCTCTTCAAGGAGAACTACAAACCACTGCTCAGTGAAATAAAAGAGGACACAAACAAATGGAAGAACATATCATGCTCATGGATAGGAAGAATCAATATCGTGAAAATGGCGATACTGCCCAAGGTTATTTATAGATTCAATGCCATCCCCATTAAGCTACCAATGACTTTCTTCACAGAATTGGAAAAAACTGTTTTAAAGTTCATAGGGAACCAAAAAAGACCCCGCATTGCCAAGACAATCCTAAGCCAAAAGAACAAAGCTGGAGGCATCACGCTACCTGACTTCAAATTATACTACAAGGCTACAGTAACCAAAACAGCAGGGTACTGGTACCAAAACAGAGATATAGACGAATGGAACAGAACAGAGTCCTCAGAAATAATACCACACATCTACAGCCATCTGATCTTTGACAAACCTGACAAAAACAAGAAATGGGGAAAAGATTCCTTATTTAATAAATGGTGCTGGGAAAATTGGCTAGCCATAAGTAGAAAGCTGAAACTGGATCCTTTCCTTACTCCTTATATGAAAATTAATTCGAGATGGATTAGAGACTTAAATGTTAGACCTAAAACCATAAAACCTAGAAGAAAACCTAGGCAATACCATTCAGGACATAGGCATGGGCAAGGACTTCATGTCTAAAACACCAAAAGGCAATGGCAATAAAAGCCAAAATTGACACATGGGATCTCATTAAACTAAAGAGCTTCTGCACAGCAAAAGAAACTACCATCAGAGTGAACAGGCAACCTACAGAATGGGAGAAAATTTTTGCAATCTACTCATCTGACAAAGGGCTAATATCCAGAACCTACAAAGAACTCAAACAAATTTACAGGAAAAAAGCAAACAACCGCATCAAAAAGTGGGCAAAGGATATGAACAGACACTTCTCAAAAGAAGACATTCATACAGCCAACAGACACATGAAAAAATGCTCATCATCACTCGCCATCAGAGAAATGCAAATCAAAACCACAATGATATACCATCTCACACCAGTTAGAATGGCAGTCATTAAAAATCAGGAAACAACAGGTGCTGGAGAGGATGTGGAGAAATAGGAATACTTTTACACTGTTGGTGGGACTGTAATCTAGTTCAACCATTGTGGAAAACAGTGTGGCGATTCCTCAAGGATCTAGAACCAGAAATACCATTTGACCCAGCCATCCCATTACTGGGTATAAACTCAAAGGATTATAGATCATGCTGCTATAAAGACACATGCACACGTATGTTTATTCCAGCACTATTCACAATAGCAAAGACTTGGAATCAACCCAAATGTCCATCAGTGACAGACTGGATTAAGAAAATGTGGCACATATACACCATGGAATATTATGCAGCCATAAAAAAGGATGAGTTTGTGTCCTTTGTGGGGACATGGATGCAGCTGGAAACCATCATTCTCAGGAAACTATCACAAGAACAGAAAGCCAAACACTGCATGTTCTCACTCATAGGTGGGAACTGAACAATGAGATCACCTGGACACAGGAAGGGGAACATCACACACCGAGGCCAATTGTGGGGAGGGGATGGGGGGAGGGATAGCATTAGGAGATATACCTAATGTAAATGACGAGTTAATGGGTGCAGCACACCAACATGGCACATGTATACATATGAAACAAGCCTGCACGTTGTGCACATGTACCCTAGAACTTAAAGTACAATAATAAAAAAAAAGTTTTTAAAAACAAAAAAAAACCTGAACAAAGAGAGTCCAAGGTTAATATTTTTAATGAGTCTAAGAAAATCTATATGTGATTTAGTTTTTATCCCTGGTGCTGAATGCAAAAGTGACACATCATATACTTAATAAATGCATGATGAATAAAGAATGGAATACATGAATACATAATTATGTAATACATAAAATTAAAGTTTCATCTAGTCATTTAAAAATCCCCTAAAAGAAACATTTTTATAAGCTAGCTCAATTAATTATATATATATCTCTCTTTTTATTTCTGAACAGCTATATATAATAATGCAAATTTATTGAGTAAATAATAAGAAAGACTTTTTGTTTTATAATGACTTTTCATTTTGAAACAAAAATTATCTTCTAATTTATTAGAAAAATCTACATGACTGAACTGAAAATATTGACATAGGATTTTCAAACCTTTAGAATATGAGTATATTCTAAACATGTATTCTAAATATGTGCTCTGTACTTGAAACTAAGAAATATATAAAAGTATATCATTCAAACAAATTCAGAGTACCATTCTTACTAGTTAATTTGAATTAATGAGCTTTTACTAAAACCACATCATTTATAACTAGAAAATAATATGCTCAAATTATGTAGTAATAATTAAGAAAAAACATTTTATACTTACGGACAAAGTTCAACTTCTAAATACTGCTCAGTTATATCATTCAAGAAAAATGCTTCCACAACTTTTGAAAACAGAGATATAACATATTGAGAAATTTAATATTGCTTTCCAACAATAAATAATTTGTTTATTCCTTTAGAATATAAAATAAATTGACCATTTTTAATTATAATACTATCCCCAATAGGAAAAAGAGCAAAGAAAATAGACATTGCCTGGAAGAAGAAATATATAGGAAATAAATCATCAACAATTTTCTTGCATATCAGATTGCCACATATTGAAAAGATTAATTAAAACTAGTGCTGGTCAAGTTGTAAAGAAATTAATATTATCACATAAACTTTGAGCCAGTTATCTTCTTCTAGGAATGTATCTGAAGAAAATAATCTGACAACTGGGAAAAGAATTAAGTATAATGCTATTCATTAGAGTACTGTTCAAAAATTAGAAATGATCTAAATGACTTATCTCCCATTACATAAGATTATCTCTTATTCTCTAAATAAATCTCCTATTATACAGAAGAACTGTTAAGTAAATTATGGAATTCATGTATTCCATGCAATGGAATACAATGCAGCTATTAAAATCAAAGATACCATTAAATATTTTTTGATATAGGAAGATATCCATGATATTCAATAAGTCAGCTGCAGAATAGCACCAAAATGCATGTGACATTAAAATTTCATGTGTGTCTATGTCTAGATGTCTCCAAAATGTGCACAAAAATGTTAATGACTGCATATCTGTGATTGCAGGAATTTAGGTAGGTGATCTTTCTTTTCTTGTTTATAATTTCCTGGAAATTTCTGAATATTGCTATTTTTCAAATTTAATTTTGAACATAATACATCTTTCTTTTAAATAATTAAAACAACATATATATGAAGTAAAAAGTCATGTCCTTTTGTTCCCCTTTGGTCTAAAAACTGCCAGACCTTTTTCTGTGCTTCTCCATACTATTTTAAAGACTGAATAGTATTATTTTATAGGATATTATAACTTATTCACTTAATCCTTTATGGATAGACATTTAGGTTGTTTCCAGTTTTCCATGTGTTGTTTTTATAATGAAAGAGCTAAAATATAGACTTGGTTCTGCCAGCAAGTCAGAGAATCTTATTGTCCCTTTGCGAATCTTTTATCTAGATAAATGAGAATGTCTACTGTGACAGTTAATCGTATCTGTCAAATTAACTAGGCCATGGTATCCAGATATTTTGAAACATATTATTCTAGTTGTTTCTATGAAGCCATTTTTTAAAGATAAGTTTAACATTTAAATCAGCAGACTTTTAGTAGAGCAAGTTTCCCTCTATAATGTGGCTGGGGCTTATCCAATCAGTTTAAAGCCTTCATAGAAAAAAAGACTGACCTCCCACAAGAGAGGAATTCTGCCAGCAGACAGCATTCAGATTTGAACTGCAACATCAACTCTCCAGCTGGCAGACTGAACACCCAGGGAAGAGTGGACTTGCTAGCCGCCACAATTGTGTGAGCTAATTTCTTAAAATAGATCTCTCTCTTTCTCTCCATATATATAAAATAGATAGATAGATACATACATACACACACATACTCTCTCTCACTATAAATATATGTGTATATCACACACACACACACACACATACTCAGATGCACATATATATCTTCTGCTTTCTACTTTCCATCATCACCTTACAAATACTTTTGCAGCTTCTCTGTGTTAAACACTATATCAGATTCTGGAAATACCTTTATTAGCTTACAATCTAATCAGATACTAAAGTGGAAAATTTTAATAAAAATTCCAAAAGGGAGGATGCATACATTGCTACAGGAAAAAAAGAAAACAGATGCTTAGCTCAAAAAAGTGGTTTAGTGAAGGATTCCTGGAAAAGTTGCTATTTAAGCTCTGTCTTGAAAGATGATTTGGAACTAGGTGAAGAATGACAGAAACAGCATTCTAGGGCAAGACAACAGTAAAATCAAGGGTACACAATTAGGAAATATTGTAGCTTAAAGAACTATGAACAGTTCAGCCTTACCAGGCAAACCTTTCAATGTCGGAGGAGCTGGTGGTGCTACAGAGAGAATAAGCAGCCAGGTCATGGAAAGTCATATAGAGATTATATTAAGAAGGGCAAAACTTACCTTGAGAGGAAAGGATCCTGAGAAGGTTTTTAAGTAGCTGAAGGATGAGTTTAAATTTTCATTTTAGATATAGCACTCTGGCTTCTAAGTGAAGAATGGGCTTAAGGGCTAAAAGACTATTTAGAAGGCTTTGCACTAACCGAGGTAAAAGACTATGAAAGCCTAACTTTTGGAAAGGATAGTGGGGATGAAGAGGAGATATTGAGTTAGAGGAATACTTAGGAGGCAAAACTGATGGGACTTAGTAAATAAATCCAAATAATGCAGAGTGTCAAAGAAGGATATCTTAGAAAGATCTCACAATTTTTTAGATTTGGTGATTTAATGTATTGTTAATACCATTTGTTGATATTGGGCAATTAGGTGAAGAACTGGTTTATGAAAGAAGTAGGTAAGTTGAGGTTAGAATTTGTTGAGTTTCATGTCTGTAGTGCCTCTAGCAGGTAAGTCACATTAGTGTGTATTCCATTAATAAGAGGATAATATACCAGTTTTGTATCAATAAAAGACAATATATATTTAACATATGACAAATTAACACTGATACAATGTGTGCTTACAAATGGCATAAACTAGACATATTGACTAGAAGATTCATCAAAATCTTCTTTGAAGAAATGCGACATGAATTAGATCTTGAACTATGCATTAGAGGCAGGGGGAATAGAATGAGAAGGTACATAGGTTAAGAGCTTTGGTTGAATATGGTGGCCCAATTCATAAGTATGCTGAAAGCTTAAAGGAAGGGTTTGAACTTTATCCTAGGGATAATAATGATTTATGATCTGGGAAGTGGCATCATGAAGAGCATTTCAGAAAGATGAATCTGATAGCTTAATTAGGATACAGCAGAAGGAGATCATAGAGCAAACCTGAAACAGTGTAATTTTATGTCATGTCTTAATTTGATACATGAGATGAGTTGCCAGTATAAAGTAAAAACTACATTTCATATTGAGGTTGACAGTGTTTCTACAATAAGTAAAACACTCCAAATTTTCCATAAAGAAGATTTATAAGGTTAGAGTGGTAATTTAAAGATACTTAAATACAAAACAGGAATCTTGAACTCTTCTCAGAATAGGTAACAGAAATAAAGGAAGAAAATAAGGCGGCAATAAAAAAATCTGGATTTGTGGCCAGGCAAGGTGGCTCACGCCTGTAATCCCAGCACTTTGGGAAGCCGAGGCGGGCAGATCACGAGGTCAGCAGATCAAGACTATCCTAGCTAACACAGTGAAACCCCATCTCTACTAAAAATACAAAAAATTAGTCGGGCATGGTCGTGGGCACCTGCAGTCCCGCTACTCGGGAGGCTAAGGCAGGAGAATGGCATGAACCCGGGAGGCGGAGCTTGCAGTGAGCCAAGACTGCGCCGCTACACTCCAGCCTGAGCGACAGAGCAAAACTTGGTCTCAAAAAAAAAAAAAAAAAAAAAAAAAAAATCTGGATTTGTAATTGCCATTTTTTAACTCTTCTAGCTATATAGTTAAAGTCACATAGGTAATGGAGAAAAAGTCAGAATGAGAGATTGGTAGGAAATATCAGAAACTGTACATATCCATTGCTCAGAAGCACTTTCTTCCCAACAGCAAGATAAAATAATAGTTCTGTGAGAGGTTATTATAAGATTTATGTTTGCAATAAAACACACTACTACCACTTACCTTCATAATCCCACAGTTGATTGAAAGGTTTTCCTGGTTCTCCAAGTGGGGCTGGAGGATCATTGAAAAATGGAGCACTAATGTCCATCATCACTCCTCTGTCACCTGGATTCAGCCTGATAAATACCGGCTCGTGCTTTACTGGAAAACCATCCCAAGTGTGTTCAATTTTAAAATCCATCTGAAGACTCTTAAAGAAAAATATATTAAAACAAACTCTTTAACAATATACAAATGTTTTCTTTAGTTGGAAATGAAATGAAAATTTCAATGCCAAACAGCAGACGGGAAAGGCAGTAGAGTGGCAAGAGCACAGTCCTGGGAGTTAAAAGGCTATCTTGTGTTGTGTCAAAGCACGGACTCTGGGTTCTAGTCAAAAACAGGTAACTAGTTCCCAGAGGCTTTAAAACTTCTAGATTTCACACTTTTTTATGTAACTTTTTTTTAATTGCTGCCATAGAAACACTATCAATCTCAACACGAAAAATGATAAAAGTGTTAAAAGTCTAGATTTGGCTCTAGTGCTGTTGTAAACAGTGCATCAAAATCATTTTCTTAACTGTAATTAAGTCTACTGCAAAAATTGTTAGTATACTTAATCACAACTATAAGCACCATGGGTTCTTATGTTATCCTTTGTCTTTTATTTATTGTAAAGTGTGCAGGTGTCTCAGTTACTGGATCCTCTGGGAATCAAGATCTTTATAATAAAATTCAACTTAGTTTAAAAAAAAAATCTCCATAAATCAGTAGAAGCAGTGCTGTTAACACCTGTTCTTTTGGCCAAAATCATTTTCTTCATGGGGGTTGGGGATGGGGAGTTCCAATAATTTAAAAGTTAGTAGAGCTGAATTTTGCCTTCCTTTGTCCCAGCATATACACTTTCATTTTTAATATTTTAACTGTTACATGACTGCTTGCTTGGTTAATTACTTCTCTCCAACTGAAAAATGGGAACAGAATCTGCAATCATTTAAACTTTGAAATAGACTAAGTACCTACAAAAGAGCAGTTTTTGCATTTTAAATTAGTTTTCTAAGTATTCAATAGAAGGGTATAGTATTGTAATACATGATAAAATTACATTTTTGAATACTATGGATTGGGCATTTTCTAACATTGTCTCATTTAATTTCACTACAAATTTGCAGAGAAACTATTATTGTCCTCATACAAATGGAACAGATTTGTCCAAGATCACATGACTAGCATATCTAGAAATTAAACCAATGTCAGCAATGTTTTCCCAGATGAAGACATTTCAGGAATCCGCAAGGAGATGAAAATTTTATTTCAGGAGTGGTGGAACCCCCAAATTATACTAGATCCTGTGTTTTATCCAAAAAATAATCTCACTTAGTACCTTATGACTTTTCCAAACTGTAACTTCTTTTATCTGAAATCTTTGAATGCATTCCTTTGCTTCATAAGTTATTTAATCTTTTACTGTAATTAATGAAGTTACTAAATTTGGAATTAATTTAATTCAGTGAATATGTATTGAAAACCTACTACGAGTTAAGCAGTGGGAGATCCAAATGTACAAGCTCTGTGTAACGTAAGAAATCCAAGACCTCTAAAAACCTTTTTTTAAAGCATATAGCTTTTACTAATTTTCACTATATGCTCACAAATTTTACTAGATAATCTCTAAAATTAAACAATTCTGGTATAACCCATTTGTAGAAAGCTAATAGCATTTCAGAAGAAATGTTCAGCAACTCATATTCTTCATTATTGATATAAGCTCAATGAGTGATAAAACTATATAAATTGATTCTGATTTAAGTGGATTGCATGGAATAAAATACCTCAATAATAAATTTATTTTCTTTAGTTGAAACATCAAGGCACATTCTACAAATAGAAAATGTATAATCCTCTACCCTAAATTTTGGTAGTAATAAGCATCCTCATGCAGCATATAGGAAGAAATAAGAATAAATCAGGACGTTAGAAATGCTGAATGACTGACTCTGACACCAATAGGCCGAAAGAAAATGCTATTCTCCTAATTTAGAGCTTGATAATTCTTGACAATTTTGGCAATATATACCTTAGCTACTAGGAAGTTCTGGCAGATTCACTTATTCTTCATACAACCACCAAATCCACAAAAATTCTACAACATTAAAGAGATCCCTATCTTAATCAGTGGGTTTCCACTAGGGACTTAATTCCCAGCACATTCAGGCAATCAATTCTATGTCTAAATGGAATAAAACCATACCAGTGATATCCAGTGATATGCTCCTAAAACTGGCCTATCATTTCTAGGCACACATGGTGGGTCTCATGGTCAGAGTGAGGTAGACTTTATAGCAGGTGTGTCCCATCTTTTGGCTTCCCTAGACCACATTGGAAGAATAAGAATTGTCTGTCTTGGGCCATACATAAAATGCATTGACACTAACAATAGCTGATGAGCCAAAAAAAAAAAAAACAAAAACAAAATCACAAGAAAATTCATAATGTTTACGAATTTGTGTTGGGCTGCATTCTAAGCCATCCTGGGCCACATGTAGCCCACGGGCCTTGGGTTGGACAAGCTTGCATAGGTTTCAAATTACTTCAAAATGTAATTTTATCTGGAAGATAAGAAGTAAAAGATAAAAGCAAAGTTACCATTGTTAAGAATTAGGTAGTGAGTACCTCAAACCTTTCTACTGGTTCCTTCTGCTTTTCCCCACTAAGGTTTCTTTGAGCATTATTTGAAAATTACTGTAAGAAATAGTGACTAGACTTCCACAAGTAGGGAAATGCATGGCTCATCAGTCCAAAGACCGAATATAATTTTGGCTTTAATTGCATAAACAATTTTAGTTTCTTATTGCAATGACAAATTTGTTTATTTTTTTAAAAACTTTATATTGCTTAAAGAACATTCATGTCAATCTAAGTATGCATAATATTTATAAAAATTAACCTAAAAAGTATACTCCATCCTGCCCAGTAGTTAACAGTCTAGTTTAAAAATAACATAAACTAGAGACAGATGATTCTCCTTCAGTAATCTTCTGAGATTTAACCCCCACAATCTTTCAATTTCTTTGTATTTGAAATTGTGCTCATTAAGGAAAAACAACTTAAATGTCAATGTCCTTGACCTCTTGGGCTAGCGCTCCCCTCCTAGTCATTCTCTATTAACCTGTACACTGCTCTATTTCTATTCTTACATGGCACTTACATGGCATGACATATTTGTTTATTGACTCCCTGAACCCAGCTAGAATGCCTATAAGTGATGCTTACTATTTATTTGTTGAGTGAATAACTTTTCTAGTCCCTGGATCTAACACTCTAGATTTTGTGCAGGAGAAACCTACTGTGTTCGTGGTATCGTCATCACGATCATCACGTAGTGTCATTTAACACTACATATCAGATCAATACAACGGCTAATAACAAAGATGATAAACCCAGAAATTCCCTTCAATTTAGTTTATCAAGCATTTATTAAGTATTCATCTTATTTCAGGTACCATACCAGGTGCTGGGGCAATAATACATAATAAGTCTACGGTAGTTTGGGATGGTTCTCGTGTAACTAATCAATGAAGTCCCCATTTCCAATATCAGTTGCTTCATTTTGCAGTTTTAAATTTGATTCAGTGGGATCCTTATACCAAAGTAAGTTTTAGATGAATCAAAGATTTAAACATAAAAATCAAAATCATATAAAAACAAGAAATAAAAAGAGAGTTAAATAAAATCTTAATAGTAGTAAGGTAGGAGACAAGCTGGACCTGTTTTCTGAGCACCAAGGCCCCACTGATTAAAACAGAATGTAATCAAAACAAAATACAGCAAAAAAACCCAGCTAAAACCAAGATGGCAACAAAAGTGATCTCTAGTTGCCCTCACTGCTCATTACACATTAATTATAATACAGTAGCATGCAAAAAGAAATTCCCAACAGTGGCATGACAGTTTACAAATGCCATGTTTGTAAACTCCTAGAAGTTACCTTACATGGTTTAAAAAAGGGAGGAACTCTCAGTTCTAGGAACCCTTCCTACTTTTCTGGAAAATGCATGAATAACCCACCCCTTATTTAGCCTATAATCAAGGAATTGTCATGTATATAACTAGCCAACAATTCATGGGAGCTGCTTCTCCTACTCTGTCTATGGAGCAGCCATTTTCCTGTACTTTGTTGCTCTGATGAACTTGCTTTTGCTCGTGAACCCTTTCCTGAATGAAGCCAAGAACCCTCCTGGGCTGAGCCCCAATTCTGGGCTTTCCCTGCATTAGTAGAGAAAACGTTTTAAAATAGAAACCAAAACCCAAACATTTTACTACATAAATATAACAAAACTAACATGGATGCAGCTGGAGGCTATTATTCTAAGCAAATTAATGCAAGTACAGAAAACCAAATACCACATATTTTCACTTATAAGTGGAAATTAAACATTAGGTACTCATGGGCATAAAGATGGCAACAATAGACACTGGGGACTACTAGAGGGGGATGGGAAGGAAGGGGCAAAGGTTGAAAAACTAACTACTGGGTACTATGCTCACTACCCAGGTGATGGAATCATTCGTACCCCAGATCTCAGCATCATGGAATATAATTGTGTAACAAACCCCCACATGTATCCCCTGGATCTAAAATAGAAGTTGAAATTTTTTTAATAATTAATAAATAATATAACAAAAGCAAAAACCTCCTTCCCAAGTTCCCCTTACCCCAAAAGTCTATCATTAACAAAATCAAAAGACAGTCTGGGAAAAAGTGTATGCAAGTCATACTTGATACAAATAACTAATTTCTTTGATGCGTAAAGAGCTCCTAGACATCAATAAGGAAAAGACCAACACTCTAAGGGAAAAGTGACCAAAAATTATGAACAGCCAGTTAGCTCACAGAGAGAAAATGCAAAATGTTCACTTACAGTGACAGAAATGCAAACTAAAACCACAATAAATTACCATTTTTCACTTAGATTGGCAAGGATCAGAAAGTCTGATAACATACTGTGTTAATGAGGGCATTGAGAAAAAAATCATATATTGCTAGTGAGGCATAATTGATACAGCCTCTGTGAAGAGCAATACGTCAGTATCTATCAAAATAAAAATGCAAATATCCTTCGACAAAAATAATTCTAGTTCTAGGAGTCACTATACTTGCACATATTCAAAATGCATAAGCGTTGAGGATATTTGTGGTAGCATTGTTTATAATAATAAAATGTTGGAAGCAACTTAAATACCCATCAGTAGAGGACTGGTAAAAAAAAATTATGCTATATCATACAATGAAACACTGTATAACTGCTAAAATGAACGAGGCAGCTCTAAATTAACATCTATGCTAAAATACGTTGTGAAGTGAAAAAAAACAAGGTGCATTTATTTAATAAAAAGGAAGTTTATTTGCACATATGCTTGTGATGCATACACTATCTCAGGAAACACCAAGAAACGAGGTGGTTACAGTGGTTGCTTCCCTGAAGGGAATTATCTGCCTGCAGATACGGGAAGGAGGAAGCTTTGCTTTCAACTTCATCACTTTTTAAAAACCTATTTGCATTTTATACTATGACAGACACGCATTACTATTTTAAGGCAACTGAATGGTTTAAAATTATTTTTTGGCCGAGCGCGGTGGCTCACGCCTGTAATCCCAGCACCTTGGGAGGCCAAGGCAGGCGGATCACAAGGTCAGCAGATCAAGACCATCCCGGCCAACATAGTGAAATCCCGTCTCTACTAAAAATACAAAAATTAGCTGGGTGTGGTGGCACGCGCCTGTAGTTCCAGCTACTTGGGAGGTTGAGGCAGGAGAATCGCTGGAACCCGGAGGCGGAGGTTGCAGTGAGCTGAGATAGCGCCTATGCACTCCAGTCTGGCGACAGAGCAAGACTCTGTCTCAAAAAAAAAAAAAAAAAAAAAAAAAAAAAAAAAAAAAAGGCTGGTCTCTTAAGAGTATGGTGGCTGCCTCTTCTCCCCCTTATATTATATATGCTGAAAGTTTCCGAAAAGTCATAATGCATATTATCAAGATGATTACTGTCCTGAAATTCAAGTTTGGCTGTTTAGACTTTCTTAATACAATGTTTATTGTTAATCTGTATGTTTCTACTTTTAATCCCTATTCTTCAAATTGCTCTTAAAACAAGTCAAAAAAATAAATTTTCAATTATTCTTATTGCTTTCTCTTTACCTGGAAAGACCTCTAAAAGGAAACGAAGGAAGAGAAAGGAGACCGAACACTGCAGCATTAAGAACCCGGGAAAAGAAAAAAATGTCCACAAAGTTTAAAAGAAATAAATTATGGTAAAGGTGTTTTCTCAACCAAATGATCTGCAAGGAAAATTTCCAAATTCCTCTCCTCAACAAAAATTTCTTTTAGTTTTTCTACAATAATGATTTCTTTTCAGGTTCCATACCGCCCCGAGGCCCCGCCCATTTATAAGAGAAACGAAGAAACGAGGAAGTCAGCCTGACAGTGGGAGTACGCTCAATCAGCAGGAGACAGCTGAAAAGTAAAATACTTTTCATTATTTTCCAGAGATCAAGCGAAAGACAAGACCTGGCGACGGCGAAAGGAATGTCAGAGAGAAGAGGGAATAACAAGAGAACACAGACCACGAAGCTTTTCTCAAAACACTGGCTTCCTCCTCTTAGCCGAGGTCAACGCTGAGGGCTCGGCTTTAGGCTCCACCCAGCTTCCTACACGTTCTGGGGGAGGGGCTTGGAACACTGAAGCAGAGACACTTGATTTTTCCAGGAAAGAAAGATGTTGAAGGGCCACAGGTGAACATCTGAAGACTTCTAATCGTTCCACTAAAGTTTGAGTGGTTTCCTAGAAGAAGGAAGGGTGATTCAGAAATAAAAATACCGTGCAATAATTTGAAAATCAACTGTAAAGCACTAAGATTACAGCAGAACATGTACAGAAATAATTCATTTAATACAACTACAGGCTAACCGGCTATATAAGCAAAAAGTATAAATTATATTATACCAGCTATAAATTATATTATACTATACTCCTGGGGAGGCATGTTCATGGCGGTTAACAGTTGTGAAATTAGAACCATCCTGCCTGAGTTCAAATCGCAACTCAGGCACTTGCCAGCTGTGTGATCTATTCTGACCCTTGCTTAAACTTCTAACTTTGTATTCTTCATGGTACGTTGTACATAGTACTGGGTGCTCAACGTCAATTGATCAACCGAATTAATGTTAGTGAAATGTCACCAATTTTCAATCTATGCAATTATCTATGAGTACGTACATTTCCACTTGTCATTCCTTGTATTCAATTTATACTAATAGATACTTTCCAGGAACATCTACTGAATTCTTTCATTCCTTCCATCAGATATTTAATCAATTCTGTGTTCCAGATATTATGATGGAGCCTGGAGACAAACTACAAATCATGATAGATAATGCAGGAAGGAGCATGAAATAAGTACTAAGGTGGCACCTACCTTGGGAGACGTGGATAGAGAACTCAGGACGTGTGAAAAGGAGAAACATGAGAGGGGATCCTTTAAGGATAAGTGAAATCATCACAATTTTGTTTCCTAATGATGAAACTTATGTTGAAAATACTCCATTAAAATTCATCTACTAAAATCTTGTAACCACAAACACAAACACAAAAACAAAAAACTATCACGATCATAATTATGATCATGTAAGCTAAAAAAAAATCGAGTGCAGACATAAAAATTTTCACCTGAGATACTCACTTTATGTAACTACCACTCATCATTATAGCCAGAAGGTATTTGCTTCCATCCAGTTTGGGTGTAAGCATAGAGTTAAGTCTATAATTATTTATTTGATGCCAAGTAGAAATACAATATGACAATATACAAAGTTCAAATGTGGGAGAAGTTACAAGCAAGTCCTCGGAGAGTCAGTGAGATGTTTATGAAGAAAGAGTCATATACTGAACTCCAAAAACGAGTTGGAGCTTGCACACTCAATTTTCCCTTTACGTAAAAAGTTTTCATGTAAACATTATAGCTACTAAAAATCAGAACAAGTTCAATTATCCACGACCCAAAGCTAGATTAGACCTTTTCAATGATTATTAAGCTACACATCCATATTTAACAGCTAGTCTTTAGAGGAAGGGACCATCTCATTCTATTAACAGTGAGTATTGAGTCAGGCCTTCAGATGCCTAACTGCACATATTCGAATACATTTTAAAAAATGTCTTAACGCATATCGCTAAGGTTACTTTATATGACATTATGAGTACAGGACAACAAAACTCTTAAGCTGTTAAACAGAAAGCCAAATCAAGCTGCATCTATGACATGCCTGTTTAGTGAAACTTTACTTCAATCCATAAAAACACAATTTATTAAAAGCACAAAACTAGTGGCTAGCTTCAAATTAACATATTTGTTGCTAGTGGTGAGATTTCCTCCAATGTTAAATGATTTTAAAAAAAAAACATACGTTTTAAATCCAGACAAAATCAATTTTCAAAAATGAAAATTGTAATCTATCCACAAATGTTTTACCGTTTTGTTTTTTTCTTTAAAAAAAAAAAAAAAAAAAAAAAAAGTACCTTTTATCTTTCCTTATATTTGAGGAAACAAGCTTATCTTTGAAGAAATAGCTGCTGAATTTGCAAGATCTTTTGAATACTTCTAACTACATGCTTTATTACTACACAGTTAAATATTTAAACAACAGTTGTCTCCTTTGGCAGGATGGTACTTACCTTCTTGAGATGACCAAATCGAAACACAGAACTCCTCCAGAGGTACAGACTTGGTGGGAGATTCTGAAGACCCCAGTCTGGCTTCTACCCCTAGCCGCATGAATCTGCATCCTTTACTTAGTCCAGAAAGGCTTAGTATACTAGTAACCCAAAGATAGTGAGGGCATTTAAACTGTGTATTTCATGCCCTACTCACGTTTGCATTTTGGGTTAAAAAAAAAAAAAAAAAAAAAGAGGTTGGGCCCCACCACCTGGAGACACTGTCCCACCAGTTTGCCCGCCGCGCCAAGCCGGTGGCTCAGCTGTCACCCAGGTTCTCACGACTCCTCCCATTGCTTGACAGCCAGCCAATAGCGTGCTAGGACTCTGGGACGCGCGATGGCGTAAGCGCCAACGCCCGCGTGATGACGCAAGCGGCGTCACCGTCTCCAAGGAGTGGTTCGGGGCACCGGTTTCAAAGTCGCAGGGCGGGCCGAGTGGACTTCCGCTGCTGGCCTGGGGCTTCCCAGCCGTGTTGGCGTCGTCTTCTCCAACCCACGCCGCTCCGCGTAGAACGCCGCTCTCAGGCTGCCCTCCAGCTCCCGCGGCACTCTCTAGGTGGCCCGACGAGACCCAGAGTGCCCGCGGGACGCCTGTATCGACCAAGTCCTCTTCCCACCAGGGTGGGATTCCGTTGAACGTGGAACAGAATTCACCTGGCGCGTCCCCAGCAATCTTCAGTCTCTCTCCAGGGCCTGGGATTCGCCTGGGGCGCGGGGGAAGGAAGCGTGGCGGGGCTGTAGATGCCGCGTGAGTAGGATGCAGATTGCACCACTGGAGCACTTGACAACCAACCGAGCGTTGGCTTAGTTTTGTTTTCCCGCACAGCGAGCTCTGTGTCTTTCAGAGGAAGGTAAAGGTGGTGAAAACTCCAAACTAAAATTGTATCGAAATGGCAACAGAAATCGACTTTCTGAGAGAGTAAAGTAAGCTCCATGTTTTTTTGAGAATTCATATTCACATACAATGTTTAATATCGTCGTCGTTGACCGACAAATCTTTTTTGAATGCCGGTTGGGTACATTTAAATTTGTAAAAATTTAAAGAAGTTAGTTGCAGGAAAAAAAAAAAAAGCTTGATGGTATACGTGAGGATGTGTGTATATTTAAGCAGAACCGTATGGTGGTACTTGTGGCTTACACAGAATTCTGCTAGACGCTAAACATGTTTGTTATGCTCCTCTCGTGCTCTGAAGATTAGAAGGCTAATGGCCAGCAAGAGTTTCCAAGTGTGCATTTAAAACCTAGGGGCCCAGCTCTCTGGCCATTTATTAAAAAGATGTTTATTGAACTCTTATTTCTATTATGCACCAGATACTATAGAAGAACAGCTGCTGCAAAGATAAACAGGACAGTTTTTACCTTAAGAATTTAATTTGGAGAGGGAAATGTATTCCAAAGTATATTGAAGTGGCAGCAACTGCTGGCTCTTTTGCCACAGTCTCATGGGGTTGTTGGAATGATTAAATGAATATTAAAATATGTAAAGGATTTAGAATAGTATCTGATACATTGTTAATTTATTGTTATGTAATAGTTAAATATTAACTGTTACACGATTATTATTAAACTATGTTCAAGGAAGGTGCTATTGGGCTGAAACGTACAGTACCAATATGAATTTACTATATAAAAACTCTAGGCATCCCAAATAGAACAGTATTTGCGACACTGAGGGCATTAGGAATATGCTTTGTTAAAGATTTGCAATAAGGCTGGTTTGAATGTAATATTGATGTAAATTGAACTGGAATATTTATATAGGGAAATGGCAAGTGCAGTCGAAGGAGTAGAAAGGGCTGGATGGTGAAGGGCCCTGTCTTCTCTGTGCTAAGGAGTTTGGTCCACTGCATGGGTTATAGGAATTCAGTTGAGAGTGGCATGATCAAATTGTAATTTAGAAGGCCCGGTCTGATTTTTATGGGGAATGTGCATTATAGCAGAGTGCAGTTAGTTGACTACTGTCATCATTCAGATAAGAAGTAAACTAAGTTGGGCACAGGGAGATTGGGGATCAGGGGATTTGAAGGAAAGAGGTAGAGGACGCTTCGTTTTTGCTTGAGCAACAGGGAAGTTAGGAAAAAGGTAGTAAGTCCCATTTTGGCAGCATTATAGACCAGTGGTTAAGAACTCAGTTAGCCTCTAGATTTAGTCTGTCTGGGCTCAGAGCCTACCTCTTTCCAGGTCTGTCACCTCGAGCAAGTTTCCTAGCTTTTCTGCACCTCAGTTTTCTCATTTGTGTAATGAGTATAAGAACACAAGAATCCTCTTGAAGTTGTGAGACTTAGATGATGAAAAAGCATTGAGCATAGTGTCTGGCACATTTTAAGTGCATGGTATATGTTATCTAAAATAATTAATAACACTATAATGACACAATAACATTAGCATTATTTCTTAGGTTTGTAGTGAGAATATCCCCATCCCATAAGAACAGCTAACTGACCACCATAAGAGTGGTGTGGGACAGGAGTTGGTTGATGAGTTTGGCTAGAGTCAGGAGAGTACTTGAAGCAGTGAGAAACTATTAATTTCATAAGAATGATCCAGCCAGAATTCTTAGATAAAACTGAGATCCAAATACCAGGGGGAAACAAATAAGACAACTGAAGCATAATAACATTTTTTGAAAAATGAGTGGTATTTAATAGTTCCACAGAAGACAAGTGGAGTGCAAGAAGGAAATCTCAAGCAGAAGGAGCAGAAGAAGGAATGGTTCAAAGGCTTAAAATAACTGGTTTTATTCAGGGAATCGGAGCCTAGAATGGTAGCGTATGCATGAAGAGATAAGAATGAGAGTTGAATGTCTGCGTTGCTCTCCTTTTTTCTTTAACTGGATTTTGCATGCCATTTGAAGGTGGTGGATTATTCCATTAAGTGACCCACCTAAATACCAGCCCAGATAAAGATAGATGATCTTCTTTCCACCTGCCTCTGACTTTTTCTACACTGATTTCTGTTGATCTTGATCGTCTCTTTGTTCCTTTTGAATTTGGGAGCCTAGGTCAAGACCATTTGTTTTGGTACTTCTCAACTGGCAACCCCACATGACATTTCCTCTGATAATTACTATTTCAGCTTTACATATCATAACAACAGGCAGCTCCACACTCAACCAGGCTACTAGTAGAGTAAGCTTGTAGCATATTTGCTGTGTACTCTTCTTCCACCTCTGTCTGGGAAAGATCAGTTAGTTTTTAGAAACCTGTTCAAAGAGGTACTTGTATTATCAATCTAAGGAACTAAGAATTCATTCATTAGTGGGGTGTGAGACTCACTGGCAGAGTGGTGATGGACTCATTTTTTTCTTTTCATTCTCTTAACAGTGTTGGACCCAAACATTTTTAATGAATTATTTAAACATTTAAATAATTCATCAATTTTTTCTTTTATGAATTGTGCTTTTGGTGTCATGTAAGAAATCATTGCCTAACCCAAGGTTGCAAAGATTTCTTCTATGTTTTCTTCTAGGAGTTTTATAGTTTTAGGTTTTACATTTAGATCTATGGTTCATAGAGTTAAATTTTATATAAGGCATGAGGTAAGGAACCAGGCCACTTTTTTGCGTTGGATGCCCAATTGGAAAAACTACCCTTTCTCCATTGAATTAACTTTGCTTCTTTGCAGTTGTTTATATATGTATGTATCTATTTATGAACTCTATTCTTTTCCACTGATTTATTTGTCTATCTGGACACCAATACCCCACTGTCTTAATTATATCGGCTTTATAGTACGTTTTAAAGTAAAATTGGTTCTTTTTTACCTCATTGATGTATCTCTTTAAATTTTCTCAGCTATACTTTGTAGTTTTTAATGTTTAGGTTTTGCACATCTTTTGTTAGATTTATGCCTGTGTATTGAAATTTTTGATACTACTGTAAATGGTATTATTCTTTTACTTTCAGTTTCTGATTTTTCGTTGGTAGTATGTAGAAATAACATTTCTTTTTTATTATTATACTTTAAGTTCTGGGGTACATGTGCAGAATGTGCAGTTTTGTTACATAGGTATACATGTGCCATGGTGGTTTGCTGCACCCATTAACCCTCACCTACATTAGGTATTTCTGCTAATGTTATCCCTCCCTTAGTCCCCCACCCCCCAACAGGCCGCAGTGTGTGATGTTCCCCTCCATGTGTCCACGTGTTCACCTTGTTCAGCTCCCACTTATGAGTGGGAACATGCAGTATTTGGTTTTCTGTTCTTGTGATAGTTTGCTGAGAATGATGTTTCCAGCTTCATCCATGTCCCAGCAAAGGACATGAACTCATCCTTTTTTATGGCTTCATAATATTCCATGGTGTATATGTGCCACATTTTCTTTATCCAGTCTATCATTGATGGACATTTGGGTTTGTTCCAAGTCTTTGCTGTTGGGAATAGTGCCACAATAAACATACGTGTGCATGTGTCTTTATAGTAGAATGATTTATAATTCTTTGGGTATATACCCAGTAATGGGATTGCTGGGTCAAATGGTATTTCTGGTTCTAGATCCTTGAGGAATCGTCACACTGTCTTCCACAATGGCTGAACTAATTTACACTCGCATCAACAGTGTAAAAGCGTTCCTATTTCTCCACATCCTCTCCAGCGTCTGTTGTTTCCTGACTTTTTAATGATCGCCATTCTAACTGGCATGAGATGGTATCTCATTGTCGTTTTGATTTGCATTTCTCTAATAACCAGTGATGATGAGCATTTTTTCATGTTTGTTGGCTGCATAAATATCTTCTTTTGAGAAGTATCTGTTTATATACTTTGCCCACTTTTTGATGGGATTGTTTGCTTTTCTGTTGTAAATTTGTTTCTTTGTGGATATTAGACCTTTGTGAGATGGCTAGATTACAAAAACTTTCTTCCATTCTGTAGGTTGCCTGTTCATTCTGATGATAGTTTTTTTTGCTGTGTAGAAGCTCTTCAGTTTAATTAGATTCCATCTGTCAGTTTTGGCTTTTTTTTGCCGTTGCTTTTGGTGTTTTAGACATTAAGTCTTTGCCTATGCCTATGTCCTGAATGGTATTGCCTAGGTTTTCTTCTAGGGTTTTTATCGTTTTAGGTCTTACATTTAAGTGTTTAATCCATCTTGAGGTGATTTTTGTATAAGGTGTAAGGAAGTGGTCCAGTTTCAGTTTTCTGAATATGGCTAGCCAGTTTTCCCAACACCATTTATTAACTAGGGAATCTTTTCCCCATTGCTTGTTTGCATCATATTTATCAAATATCAGATGGCTGTAGATGTGTGGTGAGAAATAATGTTTTTTTAATATTCTGCTCTGCAGCTTTGCCAAACTCATTCATTAGCTCTAGTAGTTTGTAGAGTCTATCAGTAGTTTTACGTAGATAGTCTTGTCATCTGAAAATAAAAACAGTTTTATTTCTTTCTTTTCAATTTGGATGCCTTTTATTTCTTTTCCTTGCCTTATTGCAGTGACTAGAATCTCTGGTACAGTGTTGAACAGAAGTGGTAGGAATACACATCCATGTCCTGTTCCTGATCTTATGGGGAAGGCATTTGTCTTTCAGAATTAGGTATGATACTAGTTGTAGGTTTTTCATAGATGTTCTTATGTTGAGAATGTTCCTTTCCATTCTTAATTTGCAGAGAGTTTTTATCAAAATGGATGCTGGATTTTTAAAAATGCTGTTCTGCATCCATTGAGATTATCAGATATTTTTTCATTTTTCATTTGTTGATAGAGTGAATTACATTGATTAATTTCAAATGTTAAAACCACCTTGCCTTTCTGGGATAAATTCTACTTGTTCATGATGTATAATCCTTTCTCGATATTATTGAATTTTATTTTATAAATGTTTGCTTAAAATTTTAGTGTGTTCAGAAGCTTTTTTTTCTTTTTGGGACAGGATCTTCCTCTGTTACCCAGGCTGGAGTGCAGTGGCACAGTCACGGCTCTTTGCA